CATGTTTTTTGCTCATGCTACATGGCTGCTTTGAGCTTGCAATGGTATCTTCTTCATAGTCACTCAGGGATCCAGACTGAAGGAGCAGCCATCATCTGAAACACCATCTATTATAATGATGGGGAAGTAGGCTTTGCGTAGCAATATTAAATGTTCCAACTCAGAAATGATCCTGTTATATTCATTCACAATTCTTTGACCAGAACTAGTTATAGGCTTCTGCTCATCCGTAGCACCATGCAAAAAGGGACTAAGAACTGATTGAATGGTGAAGAGCAGAAAATATCTGGCAAATAATGCTGATAATGACTACTATGTTTCACTCTTTTGATTTTGAGCTTTTTGCACATGCACACACTTGTAATCCCAAGTGCTTAGGAGGCTAAGGAAGGAAGATCACAAATTCAAGGCCAGCCCTGGGGAATTTGGGTGTCTGAAAATTAAACATACAAAAGGTTGGGGATGTATTCCAGTGGTGGAGTGCTTGCTTAGCATGTGTGAGGTCCTAGGTACAATCACCAGCTCTGCAAAGAAAAAAATAACTTTTTTTAACCAAATCCCAAGAATTAGAAAACAAGTGGAATTCCTGTCTATCATCTACCTTACAAAATACATTTACTAACATACAATTGTCCTCACAACAGCTCTGATGAAAAATTGATCCTTAGTGAAATTAAATACTTATGTAAAGTAAAATGAGATAACTATCAAATAGAGGTAGAAATGGAAAGAGAATTCAAATCTGTACTGCCGGTACTGAATGAAATTTACTTGTTCCACATTTATGGAGGTAAATTACCTGGGGGTGCAATGAACATATTTTAAAATAAAATAACTGCTGCGAGTTTAATAGGATCCAAGGACAAAATTTTAAAATTCTATGTATCAGTGCCTTGGCATTTATCTTAATGACACAGAAAAGACATTGGGTTAGCAACAGCTGGACAAGGATTGAACATTCTGAGCTATAGAAAAATATATTCAAGTAACCCAGCCCTGTATGTAAGCATGAGACCAAAAGTAGTACACAGATATCTGCAAAACTGTTGATTTTTAGTATACAGAAATATTGATTTCGGATATTTTTCAGTTCTGGGGATTGAACTCAGGGCCTTAACACTGACCTACATTTGCAGCCCATTTTCTAAAAGAAATATTTTGAGACAGGCTTCTGCTAGGTTGTTTAGTTGCCTAGGCTAGGTTGAACTTGTGATCTTTTGCCTCAGATTTCCAGAGTGATGGGATTACAGGCCATGTGCCATCATGGCCAGCTGCTATCATCTCCTTTTCCTTTTCCTCCTCTTCCTGCTTTCCCTCCTCCTCTTTGCCCCCTTCCCACTCCTGCTTCTCCACCTCCCCTTTTCTTTTTAGTTTTCCTTTTTTCTTTTTTGCACTACTGGGAATTAAGTACAGGAAGTGCTTAGCTATATCCCAAGCCCCTTTTATGACCTGTTTATTGAAACAGGATCTTGCTAAATTGACCAGGCTGGCCTCAAATTTGTGCTCCTATCTCAGCCTCCTGAGTAGCTGGAATTAGTGTGTACTACCATCCCTGACCCTACCGTTCTAAATTTTAAATAAGAAATAAATTGTCTTCCTTAGTGAATATTAATAGAATTATCAATTCTTTATTACACAACATTTGGTTTCCAGAAGGGCTGGAAATTACTCAGGAAAACTGGTAGAATCCTATTCTCTAGTTTAAATCTGAAATGCCTTTCTCAATATTCATTGGTCCTAATTTTTTATTTTGGATAAGCCACCACACTTCAGTCTAACCAAAGACATCTGAGTTGTTTGGGGTACAGTTTCCTGCAGCAAATTAATTTTCAGCAAATGGCTTTTCAAAATAAATGCCAAAAAAAGAAAGAATTTAACTCAGTGGAGGCATGAAACATTGTAGCCATTTGATTATTTTGGACATTATGCAGTAGTCACTGCAAGTCAGCCCTGGTGCTGAATTCTATTTGCAGTATATTTAACTGCACATGAATTGCTGGTTTCATTCCTCTTTTTTTGTGGTGGTTGGGAGGAAACCTGGGTTCTATATCCTCTGGCCTAGGTAAGCCCTTTACCACTGAGCGAACCTGAGTCCCCTTGGCTTTATTCTTAATCAGCTGAGGTAGGGTATGGAATGATATGGTTTTCATATGTAGTTCCAAAGACCGGATTAACATCAAAGATATTCTTTAGGACAGTCTGACTTTGTGTATCACATTATAATTATGACTATTATATAGGCTATTTGTCAGGCTAGACCTCAAATAGCAACCAAGACCACCAGGACAGGCAGGGTTGAAACAAACAGTGATATCTTTATTTCAGGCTGGGTGCAGCCTGGCCAAGGGTGAAAAAGCCATTGGCCCTGAACAAAGAAAGGGGTCCTGCTTTATACACTACTTTAGGCATGGGATGGGGGAATTTTACTGAGGAAGGTGGAAAATTTTAAGTTTCTCAGGGGTCACTGGGGGTTTGGTACCTCTGGGAGAGGGAAATGTAGGATGACATGGGCATGTTGCTGATTACAGCGTGGCATTCTGTAGACTTTTGAGGTTTCCTATAAGCCTGAGAACCAGGCCAGGAAATCATCCCGATAAACAAATTTACTTTAGTCTCTAGAGCTAGGTGAGAGGCTTTCTGTTTGAACAGACCGGTGGTCTGTCAGAGTTTTTCTCTTCAAGTTGGGTGGGGTACAATGTAAAGGAATGAACACTATTATAGCAAAAGGATGTAGCAAAGTCATGAAGTTCTCAAATGTTAGAGAGGCAGTGAAGAAGGTCAAAGTTCCAAAGATAATTAAAAATATTTTCTACTTCAAGCATAAAATTTCCTACATCAACAACTTTTTGTTGTTGCAGAAAAAAATCATCTTTATAAGCAAAAAGTCTTTCATTAGATCACTAAAATTTGACCCAAATGTTTGAAATATTGCAGTACACGGTACCACAATATTGACGAATAGATTAAAACATAACTTCACTGTATCTCAGCTCCCAAAATTCTATTTCAGGAGCTGGGGATTTAGCTCAGCAGCACAGCGCCTGCCTGGCAAGCACAAGGTCGTGAGTTTGATTCCCGGTACCGGAAAAAACACCGAGAAAAAAAACCAACCAACCAAACAAAAAAACCCAAAATTCTATTTCAAAAGGAAAGACCATCACTAAAGAAATATGCTAAAACATTTATAGTAGCACTACTTACTATGGTTCCAACCTTGAAGCTATCCTAACATCTATCAGAAGAATGAACTCATCAATTATGGTATAATTATAGAACGTAATAAAATAATCTACAACTATACATAAGTAAAATGTTGAACTAAAGAAGCCAAACACAAAAGAATGCATACTTTATGATTTTCATATATCTTAAGTGTAAAGACAGAAAAAAACCCTGATGTATGTTGCTGCAAATCCACAGAGAAGTTGTCCTTGGAAGGAAGCAGTAACTAAAAGGCAGAACGCTGGGGCTCCTAGGTGTTATTAGCCTTCTGTTTTTTTGATCTGGTTGCTGGATACAAAGGTGTGTGCAGGCTATGAAAATACCTAGAGCTATATGTGCTTAGATTATGTACACTTTTCTCCACGTTATATTATATTGCAATAACAAGTTTTCAAAAGAAGAAAAATCCAGGAAGTCCACAAAAATTGGCTGTCAACCCAACATAATCCTCAAGGTCATTACTAGAATTTATGAGTCATTGATATGAGCATCACTCTCTAAGCAGACTACTAAGTGCACTGGATTCAGAACAGTTATCCAGACCAGAATACCTAAAATACCAAAGCAAGTTAATCATTTACCTTTAAACTCTGTATTCTCTTGCTTTTGTCTACCTTCAGTGGTACCACTGTAGTTTAATTCATGGCATCTCCTACTTTAAACCTCATCTGCTGTAATCTCTTGACAGTCTCCCAATAACCTAGTTTACCTGCTCTCCACACATTAACCAAAGTGACTTAAAGTCTGTGAACCACATCCTTTCACTCCTTTGCTTCGCATACCTCAATAGAGATCCATTAAATTTAAAATGTAGCAGACTCTAGAAGGCCGCATTTCCTTTGCCTACTTCCAGCTCACTGTTTTTCCTGTCCCTCACTGTACATAGTGTACATTGGCCTTCTTGTTCTTCCAAAAGCTCAACTTGTTCCACCTCAGCACCTTTGCTATGCTGCTCCCTGCTCCAAGAACAATCATCACTTCACTGGTTCGAGTGACTGATTACTCCCTTCTCACTCGGAGACGCCACTTCCGTGCATTCTACTCTGTAGGTATCACATGAGGGGACCCATCAACCCCTCACTGCTCTCAATACCCATACCTTGTCTGTTTCTTCCCTTTCCGCCCTTGACGCCAGCCAATCACAGATCCCTACGGGACCGAGCCTCTGGTTTGTGCAATTTGACTCGGCGGTCCCGCAGAGCCACTTATTTTTTACACACTTATTTACTAAATAGTTTCCCTTCTCTTCTTCCTTGTTAGACTGCAATTCCTGAGAGCAGCATTCGTGCCTCTCAGGGTCGGCTTTACCTCTCCGGTGCCTAGTAAGTACCTGACACACACAAGGTCCTTCATAAACACAGAAACACCGGCGAATGAATGAATGACAGTCCCAAGGGCTCACAAGACGCTTGTTTGCACAACCATGAAAAGCGCTGCACTATAAATCTGTTACAGAACAAGCAAAGAAAGCCGACGTCTTTCCAACTCTAAGCCCAGGCAAAGTGCCCTTCTCGGTTTCCTGGCTGTCACAACCACTCCCTGGCCAGAAGTGACACACCCTCCTCTCCACGCGGGAGTTGCTCCAGGTCCGCGGGCCCTGCCCACCGCCCGGGCGCGCCCCCTCCTGAGTCGCCGTGCGGGGGCGGGGCGCCGCTGGTCCGTGCTGACGTCGCCCCGCTGCGGGACCGCCGAGTCAAATTGCACAAACCAGAGGCTCGGTCCCGTAGGGATCTGTGATTGGCTGGCGTCAAGGGCGGGCGCGTCGCCTCGCCGAGCGCCGATCGGCCGGACCTGCAGTCAGTCAACGGGAAGAGACTTCCCCATCTTCCAGCACAGAACCGGTGAAAGATTGTCGAGAATTTCTTGGAGATGAAGCAGAGGCTCCTTTAACTGCTTGCTGTGGAGATCGGAATCAATGGGGAAGGCAGTCTTATTTACCGACCAAGAGAACGCCTCCCCGCGCTCCGACAGCTAATTTTAAAAACTCCTGGGAATACAGCCACCGAGAGGTAAGCGCTGGAGAGTGCAGCTCCTTTACTTCGGCTGGCCCTGTGCGCTGCCATGTAAGGGCGGCCCGGAATGAAGTGAAGGGGAGGACGAGGAAGGCGCGGGGAAGGTCGGTCGGCTTCCCCAGCCTCCTCGGACCCGGCCGTGCGCGGGCCGAGGGGAGCAGCGCCGCGGGCTGGGCCGGGGCAGCGAGCACGCCGCGGGGTCTGCGCGCGTGGCCGCCTGGGGGAAGCAGGCGTGAGGACAGCGGGACGCGAACGCTCGGAAGGAGGCTGCAGGGGCGGGGGGTGCCCGGAGGCGGAAGGTGTGGGGGAGCCAGCCCTCCACACTCTGCGCGGGCTGGAAAGGTGCTTTCCCGCCGAATGTCACTCGGGTCGCTCAACTGTCACGGCCAGCAGATCGAGCCCGGAACCCAGACCTGTCCAACGGCGAGCTTCTCAGGAGATCGTTACAGAGAAGGGTGCAGAGCCCTGGTTGGATTGGATCGGAGACTTGGGCTTTGCTTTGCCAGGACAGCATTGAAATCCAAGGCCGAGTGGCAGATGATGCCATTTTTAGCAGCTGCAAAGTCCGAGAGATGACAAAAGAGGCGGCGCTAGGCGAAGACAGCCAGGGAATGTGCAATCTCTTAAGCGCCTCTGGCCTTCCAGATCTTCAGCAAGAGAGCAGCAAGGCCTTGTCGGTTTTTTGCACCTTTTGCCGGGGCGGAGAAAATAGTGAGCTTGTTGAACAGTTTCAGAATGAGCTGCTCGAACGGGAGATGAGAATGGTCTTGAAAACAGCCATGATTAATGGTGTTCCCATTATGCTGCTTCAGCAGGAAGGAGCTAGCTGCTTGCAAGCGGGACTGTTGCAGTGTACAGAAATTCGGAACAGATCCACCACTCTGTAATAAAATACCTTAGCTATAATTTCGGAGTCCTGAGTTTTTGTTAATGATTTTTTTCTTGCAACTTCAGTCACTTTCTGTTGCTCATCCCAGGCACCTCCCTTCATTGGAATCTTAGATAAAAAAAGGGAGAGGGGGCGGTAGTGGTGACGTAATATAGAATTAAAGGAAAATTCGTCTGAGATACAGAGTTATGGACTTGGAATGTGGTCTGTGGTTTGTGTTCACAGCTTTAAAGATAGCTACAGAATGAGAGTAATAAATACTACTCACTGCTCCGATATCCTTTTCTCTATTCACAAGAAACCTACACTCCACATCAAACCTATGGGGTTTTTTGTCGTTTTCTTTTTTCCCTCAGGTAGACTAGTACATTTTCTTTACTTCTGGCAGTGGACTCATAAAGAAGGCTTTTGGGTTTTGGAAGTCTGTTATTTTAGTTTATTGAGATGCACTGCTCCCCACAAGGTCAGTTAAAAAAAAAACAGCTCGGTTTAAGAATATTAAACATTATTTGTGTTTCCATTGTGGAAAGATGTTTGCCACTTTATAATAGGTATGAAGAGTTTCTTAAACTTTTTTTTCTAGAAGGATAAAGTCTAAGGGAAAAATCAGTACTACTGATCTTTACAACTGCTGAATGATTTTGTCATACCTTATAAACTGCCCTTCTGACCTGGTTTTTTAACACTCAAGAACAGTTTATCTCAAATATCAGTGTCAAGTCCTGCCAGAGGCAGTGTCTCCCTTTTCCAAAAATGAAATGGGCAGCTCAGAGTTGTTATACCCAGGAGGGATTACAAAGGGCCAAGTAGTACAGAAAATAACAAAATTGGCATGGTGGTTTTATAGTTGTATGTATGGCTTTTCTTCACTCCCATTCCATTTTATTTGTAGATCAAGATTGTGCTTAAAGTTACTATGGCTAGAGGCAGTTTGGTGGTAGAGGTCTTTCCTAGCATCTGTGAGGCCCTGGGTTCCAACCCCAGCACACCGCCCCCCCAAACGTTTGTTAAAAGACAGATGCACTTCTTACTTTACTTGATGGTTTTGACCTAAGATGTGCTCTTGAGATGTGGTTTTTCACAGATGCTTTCATGTAGAAGCCCACTGTCCAGTTAGATTTCTTTTTTTTTTTTTTTTTTGTAAGAGACAGAATTGTTTACCTGGGAGCTAATCTTGTTCTCTGGTCACAGTTCTGTGTCAGATTTAAAATATCAGATTGAGGAGGAAGATGAGGAAGCCTTAGTCAAACTAATATGGAAATGATGGAAAAAGAAAATATTTTTAGGCAGTTATTTATTGACAATAACTAGAATATACAAGGTATTGTGTGTGTACTCACATATTTTTAAACATTCATATAGTTAATTCATAAAGTAAATTGTGAATTGTAGTTGTTTTTTTTTTTTTTTTTTCCAGGGGAAATACTTTGCATTGAACCCAGGGCCTGGTACCTGTTAGGCAAGTACTCTACCACAGAGTTGTCCCTCAGCCCTTTCAAAATTTTTATTTTGAAATAGTGTTATCCTAAATTCCCTGGGCTGGCCTTGACCTTGTGACCCTATAGCTTCACCCTCCAGAGAGGTGCAGACATAGGTGTGTACCACACATGTGGCAAGCCGTACATTTTTATTTTAATTAGGAAATAAAAAGGGATTTGGAAAATAGTTTAATCTAAATAGATGATTATCTGGTTTTTTCTTTTTGTATATGACCATTAACATGCTTTAGATTGATTATGTAATATGTTGTGCAGCTAGGGCTGCAATTATTTATCTTTACTTTCTTGCTTAGCATAATCTTTAAAGTTTATTTTCACCAGTGTAATATGACATGTGGGTGTGCTCTTATGCTTTCTGTTTTCTTAACTTTTGTTCTGACATACTTTTATGTAATGCAGAGGGCTTTCAAGTAGAATTACTTCTGTCTTTTGACTCTTTTGGATGATTCAGCTCCCTAAGTTTGGATATAATTGTTAAAATGGTTTCTAAAAATAAGCTAGCCTTGATTCCCCATCAAAAGATTGACATAGTTCTCCCTTGCCTATTCAAAAAGATTGGTAAGTAACTGTGTTTCTTAGCTGGTAAATGATAAACATCCCAGCTCATAATTGCTGAATGAAGAGAATTCTTAGGTGTTTGTCAGTCTGTGCTCCACTCTTTGCTATGAAAGACTCTGATTTTTTAAAAAGAGTTTTGAACTGGGAACGGTGGTATATATCTAGAATCCCAGCAGTCTGGAAGGCTGAGGCAGGAGGATTACAAGTTCAAGACCAGCCTGGGCAATTTAGTGACTTAGTTACACATTGCCTCAAAATTAAAAATAGAAAAGGAGTTGGTGATATAGCACAGGATATACTGGGTTCAATAACCACTACAACAACAAAAAAGGAGGAGGTTGTTATTTTTCACATCTCAGATTCTTGCCTGTTGTTCAGTGTATAATCTTTTCCATAAGCATTGGGAAAGTGAGGCAGTCTGTAATGTCAATTTCCAAGTTTGAAGCTGTGGAGGAAACATTTCTTGGTGTGTAGGGGTTTTTGTTTCTTTCTTTATTCTTGTCTTTTTGGGGGGAGGGTGCTGGGGATTGAACTCAAGACCTTGCGCAAACTAAGCCTAGGTCTACCACCAAGCTATGCTTCCAGCCTTCGTGTAGGCTTAAAGTTGTTACTTAGCTTGGAAACACAAGGTGTCTTTCACTGGTTTTCTAAGGAATCTGGAAGGGAGTAGTGTAATTTTGTTTTATTGCAGATGGAGGAGATGAAACTTCGAAATTAAATTCGCCTGCTGGCTTAGATGATATGTTGCTGACCTAGTTTTGTAGTGTTGATAAATCAGCTGCATATCTGACTCTAGTTAATCTCTGACAGTAATGTACTTTCAAGTAGATGTTTTTCTGTAGCTACTCTGTGACTTTCTGAGATGATTATACAGGAAATATGTAAGAATGAGGCCAAGTGGATGATTGATTTCAGTTTATATAAGCTTTAAGAAACTGGGACCAATGTGCCTTGTATTTTATTCTTAAATAATGTTTCCAGTGAATATGTGTTCTCTGCTGAGAATGCAGTTGTATTTTATCAGTTTAAAAATTTGGGATGGTTAAGTGAGAAGAAAAAAAATAAGAATATCCTAGGAGAGCTGCAGAAAAACCTTCATGTTTGTTTGATTATAGTTCTATAACCATTCTTTAAAGTAGGTACAAGACTGCCAAGTAGGCCAAAGTTAAATATGGGGTGCGTGCCTTTACACAGAAGCCAAACAAAAGTACTTCACTGAAGTTTGGTGTATTCTGCTTGTGTGTTTTTTAATACACGTTTTTATTTGTAAAGTTTCATTTTTTTCTATATTGTTTAAAGCTGTTTTGGGAATTTTGCCATTAATAATTAGCACTTGTACTACTTATTAGATTGTATGACAGTTTGAAATTTCTCCATGAGCTGTCACCTATATTGTTACTGCTGCTGAATAAAATATGACCTCTGGATTACTCTTTTTTTGTTACTTTAACAAATCACATGAAGCGGGATAACTTCATAAAGAAAAGGCTCCAGGTCATGGCACCAGCATCAGCTCTGGGGAGGACCCTGTGGTGGATGACATCCTCATGGTAGGGGTACTTCCTGAGAGGGAGAGATCACATGGCCAGAGGATCACATGGCCAAGAATGATTCAGGGGTCAGTCTCAGGCATTACTAACAGCTGGGGTAACCAAGGCTGCTCAGTCCAAGGACGTGAACCTCAGAATTAGAGGGACTAAGGATGCAGCCCCTGTCTGAGACTAAAGTGCTAGAAGCCCCTGGAGAGTCACTGCTGTGATGAAGAATCTGAAGTCTGACGTCAGCTGGCCATGGCAGCAGCTCAAGAAGAGTGGTTTTGGCATGTTCTGGAGTTCCCCTTTGATCCCCTTTTTGGTCTTTGGGGCCTCCAGCTGGTTGATGGTGCCTGCAACATGTATGGTGGGTCTTTGGCCTTCCGTTCACTGATCCGGATACCAGTTCTCTCAGGAAACACCCTCCAGGCACACCCAAAGGTTGCCTTACCATCTTCTAGGTATCTCTCAGTCCAGTCAAGTTGACAGCTGTGATTCACCATCACAATATCAAAGGGTGTCTTTTGGAATCTCATCCCTTCTTTGGACTGTTTTACCCTCCATACTCAGCTGCATTGATTTCCAAAAATTCACTTGAAAGTGATTACCTGAAACCTGTAATACATCTTCACACAGATGCACTCCAGCTGATCAGGTGTGTGTGTGTGTTTGTGCCTTTTGGCTGAGAGAGATTTGTTTTCAAGATCATTTTTGTTTATTGTGAATTCATTTGAGAATAATATACAACCCACATACCCTCTACAGAATTATGAAATCTTAATATTATGCTATCCTTTCCAGTTAATTTTTAACTCATAACCAAACAGTGAAGCTGGGTATTGTGTAGCTCAGTGGTAGAGTGTTTGGCTAGCACGCATGATACTCTGGGTTTGGTTCCCAGCACTGCAAAATAAATAAGTAAAAAAAAGGAAAGAAAGAAAGAGTAATTACTATGGAAATAAGTTTCTGTTTCGAATATTTATATTGGAAAACCACCAGAGACAGCCCTTCCTGCAGGGCTGTTGGAATTTCCCCTGGTAATACCCTGTAATGTCAAGACAGGCTTTAAGTTTGCACTTACACATAGGTGTGCAGAGTAATAGTTTCAAGGAAATGCAGTCTCAGGCTATTATAAGCAATCTAGGGCTGGGGATTTAGCTCACCGGAAATTCCTGGTACCAGAAAAGCAAACAAACAAACAAAAAATAAGCAATCTAATTACCTAGCTGTTTTTTTCTCTTATTTCTCTCTCTTAGGAGATGTTGCGCTTTTTAATATTTGTGCTTTTCTTTGGAGCAATAGAATTAAAGAAGGGAAAAATGTTACTTGGATTTGTGTTTCTCCTACCCAAATTGTGGCCTGCTAGCTTTATTATCACCAGGGAGCTAGTTAGAAAAGCAGAATATCCAGGTCCACCTCATAACCTTCCTCATGTCAACTAAATGAAAATAAATAAGTAATAAATAAAAGCTGTTAGGGGCTGGAGATGTGCCTCAGTGGTAGAGTTTTTGCCTTGCATGCACAAAGGCCTGGGTTTGAGCCCCAGAACCACAAAAGCTGTTACATTTTATCAAGACCCTAGAGTGATTGCAGGCTGAAGTTTGAGAGGCACTCTAAGTGTGTCTACCTGCATGCATGCATGCTATCACATTTTTATAGAATTTAAATAGTATGAATTGAGAAGGTAAATATATTCACTTCTGACTCCCTATTCTTAGAAGTAGGCTGTTGGGTGCCTACCCAATACACAACACAACATAAATATATATATTTTCTGGCAGATTTTCTATGGCTTTCATTTTTTGCAATGTCTAATAATATGCTAATTATATTCAAAATTATTGACTGAGTCTCTCTTTCTGTCTTCCCAGTTGCATCATTTCTTGTGAAGACATTTCGTTATTGTTCATTGACCTTTCCCTTGTTACTGAGGCCTTCAAGAGGAGTTATGTCAACTGCAGCCTTGATTACTTTGGTTAGAAGTAGTGGGAACCAGGTGAGAAGGAGAGTACTTTTGAGCTCTCGCCTGCTTCAGGAGGACAGGTGGGTGACTCCCACGTGCCACAGCTCCACCTCAGAGTCCAGATGTTCTCGGTTTGACCCCGACGGCAGTGGGCGTCCAGCCACCTGGGACAATTTTGGGATTTGGGATAACCGCATTGATGAGCCAATTCTGCTGCCGCCCAGCATTAAGTATGGCAAGCCAATTCCCAAAATCAGCCTGGAAAACGTGGGCCGCGCCTCCCACATTGGCAAACGGAAAGAGAATGAAGATCGGTTTGACTCTGCTCAGCTGACAGAGGAGGTCCTCTACTTTGCAGTGTACGATGGACATGGGGGACCTGCAGCTGCAGATTTCTGTCACACTCATATGGAGAAATGTATTATGTACGTACAATCACTTTCGATTTGACAATTCTCCTTTGTTTCCTATTTATTTATTTATTTATTAGTATGGGGAATCGAACTCAGGACCTTATGCTTGCCAGGAAGGCTCTGTGCTGTTGAGCCATCTCCCCTGCCCTCCTATTTAATCTTTAGCTTTTGGCTGAGATGTCCATTGTAAATTAAGTTACTAGAGAGGTTTCCCACTGCGTCCATATGAGTGAGCAGTAGTTTATGCATACCATTTACTACTCATGATTAGTACCACTTCAGAAATGTGTGTCTGAATAACTCCCTAGGAACACACTGACCAGCATGTATAGTGCTTTATTTGTGACCATTTCCCATGAATTAGTGTAAAATACATGAGATAATCTATGAGACACATTTACTCCTGTTAGTGTAGGGTGTGATAAGTGCTTCAATAAATGGTTTTCTTTCAAGTGGTGTCAATCGTTTTGAGTACTGGTGAAAGAGCTTTGGACAGTGGTATTTGTGTGGAGAAAATGCATTTAATATGGGCATTTTGAGGCCCTTTAAATTGTTTTTTACTCCCATTATTGTTATGTTTCAAGAATCGCTATTGCTAGAATTAATGGGGGAGAACATATCACAGAGTTGTGACCATGTACTCTTTGTTATCTTCCAATGTGTATAATTAGCTATACTGTTCATCAGTTGATTTATGCATAATTTACCTCAATCTATAAAGCAGCTGAGTAGTATAATTCATTTATTTTTATTTTTTTGCAGTACTGGGAATTGAACCCAGAGCCTTCATATCGAGCTATTCCCCCAGACTTTTAAAAACATTTTGTTTTGAGACAAGGTCTGGGTAAGTCACGGAGTCCTGGGTTTAGATTTGTGATCCTCCCACCTTAGGCTCCCTGAGTGCTAGGATTACAGGCATGCACTACCTCACACAGTTCAGTGGCTTAATTTACTATGAAGAAACTCTTGATCTCACAGGGTTATAGCAGTGAGAATTAATTCTTTAAGAATAGGCACTTGAAGTTGGGTGTGGTGTCACATGTCTGTAATCCCAGCATTCTGGGAGACTAAGGCAGGAGGATCAGAAGTTTGAGCCCAGCTTCAGCAGTTTACCAAACCTGTCTCAAAAATAAAATATAAAATGGGGCTGAGGCTGGGGTGGTCCCGCATGCCTGTAATCCCAGCACTTAGGAGGCTGAGGAAGGAGGACCTCTGTGAGTGCTAGGCCAGCCTGAGCTACATAAGTGAGTTCAAGGCCAGCCAACACTACATAGTGAGACACTGCCTACAAGAAAAATAAATAAATAAATAAAGCGGCGGGGGCTGGGGACAAGCTCGTGGGAAGCCCTTGTGTTCAGTGTCTAGTACCTCAAAAAAATTGAGTGACTGATGCTAGGCAAGTAGTTTACCCCCGGACTATGTCACCAGGCAGGCTTTGGTTTTCTTGCCTTAAAAGTTTATCACGTGCATGAAGCTGCGTGTTCTATCCTAATACCAAAAACAAACAAGCAAACAAATAAGTAAACTTTTAAGAAGTCTGTTGTGTGGAATGACTGCTATATAGAGTGATCATGAAGAGAGATACCTATGGTAAAATGATTGTTTGGGGCTCTCTTTCCTTTCTACAAAGGGATTTGCTTCCTAAGGAGAAGAACTTGGAAACTGTGTTGACCTTGGCTTTTCTAGAAATAGATAAAGCCTTTGCGAATCATGCCCACCTGTCTGCTGATGGTATGTAAAGCAGTCACATTTCTCAAGGTCTTGGGGAGATGGGGGTAAAAAGGAAACAACCCAGCTATGGGGGGAGGTTATTAATGTATATTTATTTGTAAGGAAGCTGATATAGAAATGATTTTATAGATACTGTTTAGAACACAAACAAATGTTAGTACCTTACTTTAACATAAGAATTTTTCAGAAAGGGAACTTCCTAGTGTTCTGTTATTAGATTTTTTAATTTTAAGAAGATTTTAAAATGTTTTAATCTGTTTTATTTCTTGCTTCCCGAATAAGATATTCATACTTTGAGAATATTTTTCCTGATGGATCTGATGAGCAAGTGCTAAAATACTTGGATAATTACATCCACCAGGGAGGATGGTAATTGTTCCAACCAGAAAATCACTAGTAATTCCCAAATAGGGAAGAAATTGTTTGTATAATCAAAAGAAAGACATTTTTCTTCTACTTTTAAAATCTCAATCTTGCAGCTTTTCTGTTAACTGGTGATTATTTTTATTTTTGTTAAATCTCAGAGCATGCCAGCTGAATTTAAAAGTGCATGCCTGTATATTTTAAAAGTAAAATGTTCCTGGTTTTGACTAGCTTTATCAAAACCATTTCAGGAAAATGTAGCCAATGCCTTCTAGTTAACTGGCCAAAGTCTTTTGCTGATAATGTTAATCCTGAAAATGTAAGCAGCAGCCATAGAATCAATGCCTCAAAACTGATTTGAGAGCGAGTCATGCAACAGTATTAATCTGTATTTGTTCATCTTTTTCATGTAAAAAATATACCACAGAAAGGTCATTTTCGCATTTTTCAGTTGGAGTGTCCAGGGATAGAGATTCTCCCCATTTCACAGATAGGAGCTGAAACCCAGAGAGAGAAACGTCCATTCAGCTTAGGGCTGGGACTTTCCTGGGACCTAGTGTGGCCTTTCTCACATGAGCATTTAATGATGTGGAGAGGAGAAGGGAACTAACTCTAGGATGGCTCTATTCACCATAATGAAAGGTATTTCCTGCCTTTTTTACCCCCAGGGCTGGGTACCAGACCTCTGACTTTTGCGCATGCTAGACAAGCACCGCACCACTAATCTACACTCCAGCCTTTCCTGCTCTTTTTTGAGAACCTGACCATCCCATTCCTCAGAAAAGCATTCTAATGTGTTTTCCCTTTGTTCTATTTTAGTTTTTACGTTATTTAGGCTTCTTTTCTTCTCCCCTTCATTCCTGTGAACGGCCTTTAATAAAAGGCTGAGAGAGGGTGAAATTTTTGCATAAGATTAAGCTCTTGTTCCAAATGGGTAAAACACATGAATAAGAGAAAATAAATCTGTTCTGTTTTGTAACTTTGAGTTTTGGTATGCTCTTAGTTTACCCATTCCCAGGTTGGCTGTGAGTCTGGCTGCATCACACATCACCTTGTTTGTGGGCAACATTGTCGTGCTGGTGGTGTGTACCACCTGTCTGGCAAACAGCTGCAGCTTGCAAGGCAAGGTCTGAGGAGGGAATGGTCAGCAACATTGGCGTGAGGCCAGCGGTTAAACACATTAACCTTTCAAAAAGGTCAGCCTTTTTGAAAAGGATCCAATCACTGCTGATGCTTAGGAGCATCAGTATTAGATTTGGTATAAAATTTGAAAGGACTTCTTTCATTTTTTAAGTAATAAGTTATAATTCAAGGGAATTTTGAACTTAGAGTGTTTATTTAACTTGTATACCTTAAAAGAGACTTTCTGTAGATTACTTTCTTAACATAGCCAAACAGGTGTGCAGGGAATTTAATCATAACCTGTAATTCATTCCTAATAATGAAATTAAAATATATTGTTTAGTTCCTCTGTCATATGCTTTAAGGTATTGATCTTAGAAATTTCATAAAGATCTTTTAAGTTACTTTTTATTTAATAGCTATTTGTTTGAAAGTAAAATGGACCAAGATAGAATAATGCTTAGTATGCTAATAAAAATACAACATTGTCATTAAATATTATTATATAATTAAAATTTATTAGTCTGCATTTTTGAAAATTAGTGTTTTGAGAACATTTAAAAATTTCATTCTTAATAAGTTGCCCAGTCTTTTGAAGTTGGCAAAAATTATCGTCTGATATTGGGTCCTATTATCAAATATATTAAAGTCGCTAAACATACAATGCTGTATTTTAACTTTTCAATTTTTGGACAAAGAAATACAAACCTATGTCATTATAGATTTCAAAGTTATTTAAATTGAAAATTTTAGTAAGAACTAAAGCAGTATCAGTATTATAAGATTGGATAATATTCTTTTTAGCATATTATATATATCTCTAAAGAAATATATAATCTATATATAGATACATAGATATCTGTATATCTCCAGTGCTAGCCTAGAAAAAGCGAATGGTTCCATAATTTGCCCAGTCTACTTGCTTCTAACTTTTCTTTTGGCATTAGGCCCATTTTCACAACTGTTGGACCTTTCTGGTCAGGTCAAGGATTTGGGCTTGCTTTTTTATTTTTTTTAACTACAGAGCCTCCCTCAACCATTAAGCTATACCCCAGCCCTTTTCTGTCACCATCTTTGTATTCAGTTTATAATAGTAAGGTGTTTTTTGTAATTATTTAACCAGCCAGCAAATTCAAGTAATATCCAGTGCCTTTGTTGTTTGTAAATAGTCGCTTAAAACAGACCAGATGGTAGGAAGCTTAGATTGTAATCCTACATATCCTATGAAGTCTTCAAAGTGATCTTAAGTTGCTTAAGCTTTGAGAACAGCAAAGCTCCACTGGATAAGAGGATCAAAAGGAGAAAACTTGCCCGACACAGAGTGTGAGACACAGATGGAGGCACAGCTTGTCTCATTGGAAACATCACTGCCCTTCATATTATGATTTGTTTATAGAAAAATTAAACTAAAAAGTCACTAGGAATATTTTTGTGTGTGTGGTCCTGGATATTGAACCCAGGGAGTTAAACATATGACCACTGAGGTACCGCCGCAGCCCATAAACTCTTTTTTTTTTCTTCCAGTACTGGGGATTGAACCCAGGGTTTTCTTGTTGAGCTACATCCCTAGACCCCTTAAATTTTTTTTTCTGAGGCAAAGTCTAAGTTGCCCAAGTTGCCTAGACTAGGCTCTAACTTGCTATCCTTCTGCCTCAGCCTCCCAGAGTGGTATGACCGTGGACCTGTGCCACCACACCCAACCCCTGTGCAACATTTTTAAATACTTTTATGAAGACATCACCAAACTGAAAAAAAAAAGTAGGGTTAATGTCAAAGAGATGTTCTTATTGTGCTGTTACTGCTTCAGTTCATTCATTACCTTGGTTTTGGTGTTCGTGAGTCGTACCTATCTAGAACATCCATGTTTAATAGGTGCGGAGATACTGGTTTCTGATATTATTTACACTATACAGTTAAATAGTTACCTGGGTTGTTATATTTTGAAAAGTATAGCTTTTACCTTTATGTTACTGTTCAAAATTGTGATCATTTTCTTCTGTTGTGTTGACCTGCAACACTGGGGAAGAGAGAGAGCTGCAGAAATATTCATCATATGAATTCTATAGATTATAAACGTGTGAGGCTTGAGAGCCTTACTACCCTTTATTTAAATGGATTGAAATTAATCATTCTACTAAAACATTGTTTCTAGATACTAAATCCCTGCATTGTGCACCATTAACAAAAGTGTTAAGCCTGTGTCTGGCATAAGAGGTGCTTTGATTCCTTCCTGGTAAATATTTAAATCCCAGTAATTTGGTGGTATTATCCACAGTTCACATCCTCTGACTGTGTACTGTTTGTCTGATGCAGATTATTCAGTGCTGTCCCTAGGAATTTACTCTTCTGTTATTTGGACAACTTTGATATTGCTACCAAACAAATTTACAGAGCATTTTTTTCTAACTCAGTAATTGTACTTATTTACTGTGTTTAAGACCAACTATGTAAGTGTGTGTGTGTGTGTGTGTTTGTGTGTGTGTGTGTGCAGATGTGCATATGTTGCCACTATTGTCTTGGTACAGATGCATTTGCATATTGTTTCTTCCTACATGGGAAGACTAAGAAAGAATTATTAATCTGTGGTTTTAAAAAAAGACTCAGCTACAAAATACCATCAACTTGAGCAAGTTGAGTTTTTAAACCATTAATTTGGCACACCCGGAATATGATATAATCTGTTAGTGAAATTTTCACCAAAATAAAAACCCTTCCCCTTATTTTGCAGCTCTTTCTCTGCTCTCCCCTGTGTTGCAGGTTTGTAATGTTTGAGCAAAATTCCTGGGTGAATTTCCTATTTGCCTCTGTGCGTGTTATTTGTGGCAGAGAACTGTACGTGGTCACCAGCTCTAGACCTGGAGCCCGTGGACACTATATGCTGGGCTTCAGTGGAAAGAGGGATCTGCTTAATTTTGTCTCAGGTGAAGGAGTCCGGCGGTTCCTAGCCTGGACTACTGGAAGGTTCCCACCTCCTCTTTGTCCCGTTAGTTGAGATGACTTGCAGTAGAAATTGTCCAGTGAGTGTTAAGAACTTATTGAAAGATATCTTAGTTTTGTAGTTTTCTTATTAGGCCAGAAAAGTGAGAATTTTTACTTCCGTGTTAAATGTTAAATGAAAATAAATGCTGACTTACTATTTATATTCTTAGATGCTTAGCAAATCAGAATCAACAGTTAGTTTTGAAACTATTCCCAAACCCTGGGATTTTGGAACTGTGGAGGTGAGTTGATAAAAACTCAAATTCTTTTAAATTCCTAAGTGAGAGAACCATGAATTACAAATCTAAGTCACTAAACTTTCATTTATCAAATTTTAACTCATCATAGCCAATTAAAGATAACTTTTTAAAAAGCTTATTACTGATAGCTAGGAGGGAAAAACACAAAATTCCCTGGACAGGTAGCATCTGAATAAATGCCTGTGTTCTCTTGCGTGGCTATTTAAACCATTTGAATGTAGAATTGATTTAAATGATAGTCTGTTGCTGTGTAAAAATTCCACCCTTGTGTAGTGTCTAATCTCGTTAAAAGTTGACATTTGTAATATGAATGTCACTGCTATATAGTTTGCAACAGTAATGACTTTGACACAACAGTTCCAAAATCAAGTGATAAGTGGGAAAATAGTGCGACTCTACATGGTATTTCTACAATGAAGTAAATTCAGCATGACTATGAAAGATGAAGTAGAATTTATTCATGTTTTTCTAGTTTACTTTTCTGATTAAAGCAGGCATTCTAATATAGTGATGTGAAAAATCCACTGATATATATTTATGTATACATATACAAACTATATATCTCTTTCAAAATATATTACTGATGAAGCTTTTGAAATTGTCTTTGTGAAAAAATTCTTGGAAATATTGAGTCTCAGTCAATAGTACAATTTTCCTAAATTTACCTTTAAAGTCAAAATCGTTCTTAGATGATCATCTGAATATTTTTAAATGCTTTAAAGACATAATACTGTTACTAGAGATGATACCTGCTTTAAATAAGTTATCTTTTCCATTTCTTCCACTTCGCTTTATTTTTTTAGCCCATGATTTTATAGTCTCTCACTTTCAGCAAGGCTCAATGCACATGAAATATTTTTTTCAACAAGTAGTTAAGATCTTAGGGCAAATACTGTGAGAATAAACCAAAGAAAAATGCAGGAATGCAATTTGATTTGGATGGAGTGAATAGTGGCAATCTCAAACGCATAACATTGAACTTTACTTGATCTCAGTCAGAGAAATGTAAAATTTCTGGAATCCTCTGGGCAGGACCGCAGAAGTAACAGTTGGCAGTGCTGTCCTGCATTTGGATACAGACTCTCTATTAGATCCTTCTGCAGCTAATAGTGTTAACTACACCTAGTTAATGAAAAACTAGAATTTAATTCTCGCCCCCTCAAATCCTCTGTTAACATAATTACGGCTATAGCTTTGCTTCATGGCCAGGGAGAACAAAGATGAAGAGAAAAGAATTTGAACCTCTTGCCATTTTAGAATTTTTTGGTGGTGATTTATAAAATTAAAACAACTATAGAAGGAAAGAAAATAAAATACAGTATTGAAGAACAAATGGTTGAGCCAGGCATGGTGGCGCAGGCCTGTAATCCCAGCACTTGGGAGGCTGACGCAGGAGTCTGAGGTCAGTTTGGGTTACATAGTAAGCTTAAGCCCAGTCTGAGCTACATAGCAAGACTCTGCCTCAAAAACCACAAAAAAAAAACAAAAACAAAAAACAAAAAACCCAAACAGTTGGCTCTTTCCATCTCTCAGCCTATTACCTAACTTATTATACTTTGGAACAGAAAAACCTAATCTGATGATTGTAAAAAAAGTTAGCTTGCCTGAATGGGCTCAGCAGATCTAAATCATCCTGTCTTAGTAGCCAGCCTAATTAAATTTTAAAACTTTAGTTTTGATACCTGACTTACACACAAATGTGTCATCATTATAAGTTCAATTCTGCTGTACTTTATATGAATAGAAGCCACTTAGAAGACAGTAATGCATTGTTTACCAAATTAAGTTAGCAACCTTTTCTGTTTGCATGGAGCCTTGTTATTATTGAATTAAATACTTGTTTTTCTGCATGCTGTTCATTTACACAGCTTATTTGCATTTTATTTACATAGCTCTAGTTAAATTAGAATAATACATCCCAGCCTTAGTTTATCATGCTTGTGTTTTATTTTGTAATAAAAATTCTATATCCAATTATTTGACTCTTACTGACTCATATTTTTTTATAATATTTGTAGCAACTCTTCTAACCTCTGGGACTACTGCAACAGTAGCCCTGTTGCGAGATGGCATTGAACTGGTTGTAGCCAGTGTTGGGGACAGCCGGGCTCTTTTGTGTAGAAAAGGAAAACCCATGAAGCTGACCATTGACCATACTCCGGAAAGAAAAGATGAAAAAGAAAGGTAATGCCACCATGAATCATGAATCATTCTATGGGGATGATACTTATAGTTTAAGAGGAAATGAAGTATTATTATTTATCTGTTCAGTACTGTGGACTGATTCTAAGCCCTCTTACTATGGTAGATTCCTGCTTTTTAATTTTTTATGTTGAGACAAGGTCTCAGGTTGCTCAAAGTGGGCTCAAATTTAGGATCCTCCTGCCTCAGCCTCCTAAGTAGCTGAGATTACAGATGTGCACCACCACACCCATCTGAAATGAAATTTTGCACTTTTTTTGTGGTGATGGGGATCAAGCCTAGAGGGCTTCACACATGCTAGGCAAATCCTGTTCCACAGAGCTGTATTCCCAGCCAAAATTTTACATTTTAAAACTGATGTCGTGCATAAAATTAACAGAGACTTAGTTTACTGCAATTATATCTTTGGTCTTTTAACTTTTTCTTGATCAGGATCAAGAAATGTGGTGGCTTTGTAGCTTGGAATAGTGTGGGACAGCCTCATGTGAATGGGAGGCTTGCAATGACAAGGAGTATTGGAGATTTGGACCTGAAAACCAGTGGTGTGATAGCAGAACCTGAAACAAAGAGGATTAAGGTAAGAAAGGACTTGCAAATACTTGATGCATGTACAAAGAATGAATAAGCGGGCTTTCTTAGAAGATGTAACTGGGTCAAAATGATTTTTCGAAGGGCAGTAATTGATGGAAGGGTAGGTAAAATAAGATACTATTTTCCTGGCCTGCCATGCTGTGAAGTCTTTGGGTTTCTTTTTGCCCTAGATATGGAATTCTGGTGGAGTGGCTCTGTTGCCCTTTCTTTCCTGCGCCCGGTCATTGAGTGTCATCCCATCTTGAAGCTGCCCTTGACTTCCTTTCTCCACCATGCTGAGTAACTGCCCACCTCTGTTTCCATGGCCCACGGCCCTCATTACCCTACATTGCCCCAGTGCACGGCCTGTCTGTGATCTGATACTTCCTTATCTGAAACCCTTGAAGCAACTTACTTAGTGTTTAACAGCTTCCGATAATGACAGCAAGTGTTTGTGCATTAGTTGCATGAAGGGTTTCTTAGCAGACTTCTCATTTATACTCCTATTGTGTAAAAAACACTTATGTGGGCTTTGCTGTTTGACAGGTTCAGTTCAAAAGAGGTACTACTATCCTCATTTTACAAAGAAAATAAATCTTAAGCATACAGAGGTCTGAAGCATACAAAAGCTCATGCTTTTAATGCTGCAAAGTGCTCACTCAGATGAAAAATAGGATTTAAACTCTGGCTACATCATTTGGCTCTCTGGCTTTTTCCTTTATGGTGTTACTAAGTGTTTGCTTTACCTTTGGTGGTGGTTGATGTTTCTTACATCATTTCTGCTCTTTGCCTACAAACAGATGACCACTCAGCAAAAAAACATAAAATCTTGTAGTTGTCAGCATTCTTCTAAGTCAGAGTCTGGCTTGTGTTCATACGCATTTGGTTCTGATTGCAGCTACAGCATGCTGATGACAGCTTCCTCGTCCTCACCACGGATGGAATTAACTTCATGGTGAACAGTCAGGAGATTTGTGACTTCGTTAATCAGTGCCATGATCCTACTGAAGCAGCTCACGCAGTGACCGAACAGGTGACATGGCAGAACTTCTGCTAGGAAATTCCCCAGGAGGGAGGAGGGTGCAGGACAACCCCAGCACATGGTCTCCATGTAGTCTGGAGGGGCTACTACAAGCTTGAGATGTCTTCAGAATCTTGGGTTTTAGCTTAAACATCAGAATGAATTTCACACTTGATTCCATAATATTTCCAAGTAGCAAAGATTTACATTTTCCCAAGTGGTTAAGTAAAACTAAGAGGCCATAGAAACGCCATATTGTTTACTTTTTGACTTTGAAATGATAGTGGCAGCCGTGATCAATTATAATAATAGTAAACTATATCACTTTGTATCAGACATTATTCTATTCACATATGTTAACTCAAGTAATAACCGCAATAACCCTGAAGTTGGAGCTTTTCTCTAAGGAGGACATCTGAGGTACAGAGCTTTTGTCTTGCAGAGCTGGGCTCAAACCCAGTCAGCCAATATTCCCGAGTCCAAAGACTTGACCACTGAATTAGGCCGCTGTAAGAAAATAGCCAATTTGGGAAACACTCTGCCATGCTTAACTTCTGGTTATTAAAAATGGCTATGCGAAGAAGACAGAAGCACAGAATGGTGAATGGATGGGATGATGTGTCACTCAGGGATAAAATTTAAAAGCTGGGTAAAATCCGGGAAAAAACATGTCAAAGTTGCTTTGTGTTATTCAATATTCTTTTCTGATAGATAGTAGTTTTAAGTTATAGCCATTCCTTTGTTTTTTCTGTCTTTTTGAGGCAGGGTCTCGCTATGCAGTTCAGGCTGGCCTTGAGCTCACTTTGTAGCCCAGGCTGGTCTCAAACTCACAATGGTCCTCCTGCCTCAGCCTCCTGAGTGCCTGGATTACAAGCTTGCACTACCACACTTGGCTCCCATTCCTGATCATGATTTAATTCAACAGTTATTTTTGCATTTCTAATATGTACATTTTGATAGAAAGTATAAATTTGGCCCAAACTTTTAAGCATTAATATTTGTAAATAGGACAGAAGATAAAAAGTTATCTGCTTGAAAACAAAGGGTAAGCATAATCATAAGTAAATTATTCACTTAGTTCCTGTGTTGTCTACATTTAACCAATAACAGGGATCTTACAAAATTGAGGAAATAGGCCCAATTCAACAGAATTCTTTCTTAATTCAACTTCTCATTTTGTAGATGTGTGTTCTAATTCACAAAGGCTGTGATATTTGTAATGACTGCATAGTATTCTGTCTTATTTGGGTAATGTGATACTTAACATTTCTCCTAATTAGCAAATTTAGTTTATGTTTAGTCTTCCATATTATAGTGGACAGACTATAAACTATTCTTGCATTAATTCATGCATATCTACCTTTTCAGTTACATTTTTTTAGGTAAAATTCTTAGAAACAAATCTCTAGGTAGAAGGATACACAGTATTCTAAAGCTTTTAGTAGTATGTCAAGTGGCTCTCTGGGAGTAATAAATCAATTTACAATTTCATGGACATGTGCTATACTTTGTGTGTCTTCAAATTCTGATAAGGTTTTTTTTGCCAGTGTGGTCAGTGGAAAAACAGAACTTTTAGTGTTTAAATATGCATTGTTTTGTTTGGAGTTAACAATTAGCAAAGTTTATTAGTCATTGTATACTATTGTATTTCCCCTTGCCTCTTACTTTATTTTCATTGTAAGGACTTACTATATATTAAGTATAATAGCTCTTTAATACTGTAAGTTTTTTGTCTTTCAGTTTGTTTGTAAAATTTTTCATTTATTGAAGCATTTTACAAGAGATACTTTCATCATTCCTTCCCTTTACAATTTTGGTGTAGGGATGCGAGGTGTTTTGAAATGTTTGATAGTATAATCACAAGCACTTTTACAATACTGATCACGTCACTTACTATTTGAACTACTTCCTAAAACTGATTTACATTTTTCTTTCTGTGGGAAATTAGTTTGTCCTCACAGTTCCATTTTGTAAGAAGCATAATAAACAATCCTGTAGTAATATTTTCTGCACATCATTTTGAAGATTTTTAATTTCTTAGGCTAAATTCCTAGAAGCAGAACTGTTGAGAAGAGCTAATAGTTATCAAGTCTACTGTGTGTTAGGTCCCACGGTAAGTGCTTTGCATGTATCTTCTTCAGGAGCTGCGTATCAGCCACAGTGTTTCCATTACCAAGGTCACTATAGTGGAATGTAGTAAATGTGGTTATTTTGGGTCATCTCTTATTCCATGTGCAATTTGATGACCTTATGGGACATTGATAACAGGATGAAAGAATCATAAGCTATGGCTAAATAATTGTACTTACCAATTACATGTAAAACCAGCCTGGCTTCCCAGGCGGTGAATGATTTGTCTTTGTACAGACTCTGAACTTCAATGTTTTTCTCTTCCTTCCTGGCAAACCTTGCAGGCAATACAGTATGGTACTGAAGATAACAGTACTGCAGTAGTAGTACCTTTTGGTGCCTGGGGAAAGTACAAGAACTCTGAAATCAACTTCTCATTCAGCAGGAGCTTTGCTTCCAGTAGCCGATGGGCCTGAGTGCTGGTCTGGACCTGGAATTTTCTGTGCAACAGTATTTGCTGAACTCATCAAGAAACTGAAAGATGAAAAGATTCACCTGTGCCAGAGTAACTCTGTGACTGGCTAGTTCAGTACCCACGTCAGTGTCAATACTATTTATATAGTAGCTTTTAATAAATACTGTGCCCGTTCTATTTATTTTCAGCCATCCATGCTTAGTATAAATTTATGTGCAATGAAGCTATTGAGAGTCTCTAAGTTGAGTGGGCAAACGACAGTGGTTTTGTTACATATGACATGTGTTAAAATTTTTCTTTTACTTTATGTTTTCTTGCCGTTGTTAGTTGTTCGTTGTGGTATTGTGATGCCAGGGATTGAGCCCAGCGCTTTTCACGTGAATTTTGATGTATGTAACTTCACCTGTCAGACTAGCATCTCATTGTCTTGCCCATTGCGCATTGTCAAGCGACCCCTCTGCCTCACCCTTCCAAGCAGCTGGGACTAGACAGGGACACACCACTATGCCTTGCTTCCAAGGGTTTATAATTAATAAATATACTAAGGAGTAAATGTGAGATCTGGGCTTTTTGTTACCATATTTTGTGTTCTGGACCACTTCCTGGTAAATGTAGCCATGCAAAAGAAACTAATTTAGGTAATAGTCTATTGCTAAACTGTATATTATTTATAGACAGCATACTTGTGAAAGCACCCTTGTCTTTGATTCTATTTTTCTATAGTTAAGTATGCTCTATAGATGTGACTTCCTTAAGATCAAAAAAGAATGTGCATGCTAAGGGTCTTTTGATCAAAAACAGTACAAAGTTATATATTTTGTATAAAGGTTCCATTTGTTGTTTCTAATTCTTGTTTGTATGTAATATGTTCATATCACTTTCTGTATAGAGTAAGCAAGTTGGATAATTTGTTAGTAACAATATCACATGGCGTGATGCTGATATAGACAACTTGAGATTTATGTCTCTGTTTTATGCATTTCTAAGACTAATGAGAAATAATAATTCCAAAACAAATGCTAAAACATTCTGAATCTCACCTGGCTATGTAATTTAGGAATGTAAGACCATATTTCTTTTTACCTGAATGTAAGTTTGCTTTTCAACTGTGAATCTCTAAATGTGTGCTTGGAATTATATCTGCAGTTAATTTTCACACTATGTAAATTTGTTACATGGGATGTGTATATATGTATATTTTGGAGTAATATAAAATTAAAGGGAACAATCTTGTATAGGTAATTCATCAGTTAACCGTAAATTTTTTTTTTTTTTTTTTTTTTTTTTTTTTGGTTTTTCTCCGGTACCGGGAACCGAACTCACGACCTTGCGCTTGCCAGGCAGACGCTTTGCCGCTGAGCTAAATCCCCAGCCCTAACCGTAAATTATTGATATATTTATCCCTAAAGATGCTTGACAAATTGAGGACAGTTTTCCTGCAGTGGAGAATCTAGTTATTGGCAGGTAAGGAAACAGATAAAGGATGGATGTCGGAAACATTTTATGTTGGGTAATTGATCTGGTGACCCAGGAACGGAGCCAGCATGTTAAACTGCACTGTCATGTGGTACTTTGAACACAGAATGAGATTTGAGAAGAATACTGAATGTTAAGTATGACATGCAATTTTGTGGTAGAAGCAAAAGAAAGAGAAACCAAAAAAGAAAAATGATGTGTATGACTTCAACTGTCAGTTTTTAGGACTGATTCTTTTCTTTCTTTAAGCTTTATTGAAAGGTTTTTAGAAGAAAGAGGGCCAGTTATAAATATTCACATCTCACTTCTGAGGAAACAGAAGAAAAGGAATCTTGAATTTTCGTACCTGTTTTAATTAGCAATTGTCCTTTGAAAAACAGTGCTAGCTAAATATTTCAGGTTTGTTTTTTTTTCCCCCCAAGGAAATTAGTGCAAAAAGGACAAAATTACAGAAAGGAATATAGTCTGCTGTTCTCTGAGCAGTGAGGAACCAAAAAATAGACTAGCAGAGTTGGGAAATTTTCTTGATTTTCTGAGCTGAGGCTTAGAACAGAGACATGTTTTTACATTTAGGAGCAAGCAGAATTTCCAAACTAACATGGAAAACAAAACCCTAAAGCATAGAAATGACATTCTAAAGGTCCAGGCTTCATTTTGTTTTGAATTCCTCACATTACTATTCCTCTCTTTTTTAATTTAAAAACTAAAAGAGAATGATGTTGTCAAGTTCAAAGGCCTGAAGGTCATTGCAGAAGAAGGTAAGTTGCCAGGTTTGACAGAGAGAAATTTGTGAGATCATACCCTTGGGTGCACTTGGCTCTTGTACCTGGAAAAGTTTTAAAACCCTAATCCAGTTATCCATAAAATATACTGGTGTTTATATTTTTGAGCCACAATATTAAAATACATTTTAAAAATGTAGATTATTATAATCCCTAAAAGAAAAACATGTATTAGACCTCAAAAGCTTGTTACTAGAAATTATGCAAATAGTAATAAAAAAGGGAACTATTCTAAATGCAATTTTTTAGTTATAACTGTGAATTTATCATGTGGGTACAGTCATGGTATAAATTAAATAATACAATAAAACATATCAATTATGTTTGCCTTTTATCTCCATGTAGTACAATATATATTACATATTATATATTATAGTATACGTATAAAATTTTTCTGTGTTGCCAGACTGTTTGCCAAATTTATTTAGTGAAATATTCTTAAATCATTCTGATATTAGTAAATGTAGTCCTGCTCTATGTCAACTGTTTATTAAAGATCTTTGTGTTTTTTAAGTACTTCAGTTTGGTTTTGTATTTTTCCTGGAAAAAAAAAATCCACTTAGGAGAGATCAGTTTTGGTTCTTTGTACTGTGTGATAGCAACTTTCTCCAAATTCAACATTCAAAAAAAAATACTTTGAAGAATTAGTAGCATATAAAATATAGAAATAATTTTTAAATAGTGAAGTCATTTTTAAAAAGACTTTAGCAGAGAATAGACCTATGCTAACTCTTTAATATCAAAACACTGAGTTTCCTTTCTAAGTATGGACAGAGTTTTAACTTCATAGTAACATGAGAGTAAGAAGGTACTTGAAAGTGGGGTCTGTGGGAGTTAAAGTTTAGCATTAAATAGTTAAACACAAGTATGCATTTGTATCTTCCTGTAGTTAATAGTTCCTATACACCTGTTTCTGTAAAGAGTGACATGAGATTTGGGTTGGGTTACAGTTTATTTCATAAGCTCCCTTGAAGGGATGACTTAAGCAGAAATAATATGTCATATCTTTACAAGGTGACTAAACCAAATTGTTTTTTTTTGTTTTTTTTGTTTTTGTTTTTTTTTTTAGTTTTTCTTTGGTACCGGGAACCGAACTCACGACCTTGCACTTGCCAGGCAGGCGCTTTTGCCACTGAGCTAAATCCCCAGCCCCCAACTAAACCAAATTGTGATGGCCTTCATGTTGTTTTTGGCATCTTGTGATGGGACCAGTTGACCATCTGGAAGCTCCTATTGGTTGTTAGATGGTTGAAATGGTCCACTGCAGGTCATTGGTTCTAGTTGTGAGCTGATGGTGGTATTCCACCTTTAAGAATAACTCATCTGCCATTAGTTTCTAGTAGAGAACTTAACAGCCTGGTGTGTCCCAAATTAATTTCTACTGAAGGGCTTTGGTGTATTTAACAATTTTATTTTACACTTTACCAAAGTATTTGGTGTGTGTAGCGCCTCCTGCAGTTAATTGATGTAAGTACTGATTTGACATTATTAAAGTGATTGTGAGCAGACTATAATCACAAATCTTGGTGTTAAAAATGTCATTCTAATAAAATGCATGTATTAAATACTTTCTAAAATCCCAAAGATATTGACATTCATGCTGTCCAAAGTGTATTATGTATATGATCATGTGAACATAATAAAAGAATAAGAGCCGTGCATAGTTGGACATTTCTTTTAGTAGCCAAATTCTAACTGTTTGCAAATTAATATGAGGAAGCTTTGGGAGGAAAAGGCTACACTCCTACCTGCTCCAGATCATTTTTCTTTTATCTAATTCAAATTCATTTCTTGTTTCCATTTTCCAAGATATCTGAAGGTGCATCAGAGGGAACAGATCATAATGATTTCTATAATACATCTGCAACTTCAAAATTTTGTGCAAGATTTCCCTTGAGCAGCTTCAAAATATAATAAAATTAGAAATAGCTCCTTGCAGTGACACTACAGGATTCAGTATTATGCATTTAGCACAAGTGGTTTTTAATGTCCTGTCACTGACTGAATAAAGTATAATAGTTTGTACTCTATAGGCAAAAGGACTTCTTGTAGAATGTGTCTCTTGTAGGTAGCTTGGTAAATTTTACCTAGCACTTTCTGTATGATTAGTAATGAACAATCATTAGTGCTTGTTAAATGAGTAAATTAATGAATTGAATTCAACTTAGATTTCTTTTATGTTAATGGTAAACCAGACATTAGATACTTTAAATAAATAAGCCAAAGAATATTTATGTAAAGGGAACCATTTCACCTCCATTGGGGTTTACTGTATGGTTCAGAATCTTGTTCTGAAACTCATTCAAAGAAAGTCAGTGCGTAAAAGAGCTGTGCTGTGTGCATGGGTCTAGCCCTGCTGTTTTAGAAAGTGGAGAAGGAGAAATGAATATTGAAGGTCTCTTAAGTGCCATGCTCTCTTTTTGTTTGTCTGATTTGGTTTTGGTTTTCTGAGACAGGGTCTCACTATGTAGTCCAGGCTGGAATTGAACTTGCAGTAGCTCAGGTTTATAATCCTGCCTCCACATCCCTACTGCTGGGATTATAGGTGTGCACCAGCATGTCTGACAGAGCCGTCCTAGGTTTTTTTGTTTTGTTTTTTGCACATACTTCATTCTTCACAACAACCACAAGGGGAAACCTTTCTAGTTCTCAGTTTTATAGATGAGATGAAGTGCTGTAGTATATATTATTGGTAAACTCTCAGGTCTAATTCAGACCTCTTTGGCTTTGAAGTCTAAGTTTCTTCTATTGTACCACACCTCTGTTATTAGCAAAAGCTAGATCAGTTCACTACCAACATCATCTATTAAGTATCCGTTTGTGACCGGGCTTGGTGACACATGTGTAACCCCTGCCACTTGGGAAGCCAGAGCAAAGGATCACAAGTTTAAGGCCAGCCTGGCAGAATTACTGAGATGCTCTCTCTTAAAGGGTGGGGGCCTGCTGGCAGTATGGTTAAGTGGTAGAGCTTCCTTGTCAATATCCATGACTAGACCCACCTGCAACTCTTTTTTTTCTTTTAGCAATGTATAGTAGGTTCTCAGTGTTTATCATTGGTATACTGACATTTGATTCCCTGATGTCCTTTTCAGTGCTGTTTAAAGTGGTAATTTCCCCCCAGTTATAGTTACTTGGTTTGCATAGAATTTATTTTTCTACCTTAATTTATGTAACATGTGCCCCGTTACCACCTCTAATATCACCTCTAATATCATCTATTGAGTCAGTGGCTGGTTCATGTATTCATAACTCTTTGTCGTGTCTATCACAGAGCCACCCAGGCAAGAGTTCTTTCCTGAGCACCAAACCCAAAATTCAACCACTGAAAATGCCAGCTGGAAGGGCCTGTAGGCACCTCAATGGCAGTATATCCAAAGTGGAAAGCCCACTCAGGCCTCTTCCTTCTAAACTGCCTGTCTTGATGAACAGTGATGCTGCCCACTCAGACCTTCAAGGCAAAATTCGGCACCAGGCTTTTGTCCTTCGTTTGTAATTTGTCTCCTCTGCTCCATCTTTTCTGTGACACTGTAGTTCCTCAAGTGATGTCCCTGTCTCTAGCGCCACCTCTAGGACTTGTATTTACATCTGTTCAGTTGCATTTTAAGGCAAAATTGTATAAAAGGCCTTTCCTTCGTGGTCTGTCCCCTGTCACCGCTCCAGTGTAATTTTTTCTACGGCTAGCCTTCCTACTTAAGCTCAGTCCTGGTCTGTCCCCTCCCCATCTCCCCCTTCCCCCCATGCACACACTCTCCTAGCATCATTTTTAAGAAAATCATATTCAGTTAGTTCTAGTAAGTTATTCTTCCACAGTTGAGAAAGGACCAAGGCATAATGCTTCTTGAAGGGAGAAATGATGATAAATTACAAGAAGATACAAATCTATGAGCCTTCCCAGGTCTTTGCCAAGAAGGTATTTATACTCTGATATCTTCCTAATCCTAAACTTGCTTCCAAAGATCTAAGAAATATGAGCAGTGTGTTTAA